ACATCAACATAAAAATTTCAAAATCTTAAATCATTAATAGATCACAAAAATACAACTAAATAATATGCCCAATAGCTAGTTAGGAGAGGCCTTCAAGTTATACCTAAGTGTATGTGCTCAAATTATTCTCTATGGGGTTGTATGATATATACACTCGGGTAGAAATAGGGAAATGTTTTGTTTACTGCATAATAAATATTGATTTTGATGGGATACTAAATGACGAGATAATTAGTAAAATAGCACGGTACGGTAGTGCAAGTTTGGATATACGTACGTACGTACGTAAATTTTAATATATTTAGATAGTGCAACGGTTAACAAAGCATGTGGAATTTTTTATCTGTCTTCTCATATATGCATTTCCGTGCTACCAATGTGAACGAATTAAATTTCCGCAAATGATACAATTACAAGTATCGTGATAATTTTACATAGTTTTGACTGTAGAATACGAAGAATTTTTATAGAATCCACATAAATTTATGATACTTATGGTCGAAATTACAGTCATTTTATCCGACATGTCTTATGTGGACATAACGATTTTTGTGTAAATTATTCGACCACCTCCCAACATACAAAATTTCGCTCACCTCGTAAGAGGTGAGCGAAATTTTGTGTTGTTGGTCATGCTGTAGCTGATAATCTCTGATTTCTTCACAGAGGATACTACGTGGCCTTCGGCATACTCTTAAGCCAGAATAAATATATTAAAATAAAGCATGGGCATGCCCAAGAGATATGCCAGGGCATGTCTAGAGTGCATGCCCAAAAAGTTTCTTGTGCTAATACAATACAGCATTGTTTATTTTGGGTCTGTGCACATATGGGTCTGTGCACAAATAAGCCAGTTCCAATCGCCAGCTTATTGTTGCGTATTATATCTGTTCAGTTCGTAAAATGGACGATGGAAAGAATGAATACACTGTACCTATATCTGAAAATGAGATTTCTTGTGAGATATTCGAGATTTCTGCAGAAGACTTGGCGTTATATACATGGAGAGATCGTATATGCGTTCAAAGAACAAACTGCGAACCCACGATGAGCAAAACTGTTTCAATAGACGCCAATGCATCTGATTCTGTAAAGGATGTCAAGGCTAAATTTTTGGAGAATGATAATATCACATGCACAAGAACAGCACGTCTCTTGTTCGAAGGCATGGAACTTGAAGATGACTACACATTGTCGGATTATGACATTCAACCACAGTCAACCCTTAATATAGAGTTAAGCATCAATATACAAGTAACTATAAAATTTCAGACATGTGAAATTGAGCTTGAGATC